CTCCAACCACACATGTCTAAAAGGCACTCCTTCCCACCACCTCCACACACGTGCTTTTAGCCTGGACCCTCTGGAGCAGTTTGTCAGGGCCCTCCAGCAAGCCTGTGGCAGCAGTGGCAGCCCCACCTGCGCTGTGTTCCAGGCTGCTTACCACAAGCTGCTGGCCAGCTGCAGCCTGGCCTCCGGCTCACCACCCAGCAGTGGCACTGCCAGCCCCTGGGACGTATCCCTGTCTCAGAGGAGAGCCGTGACTCTGGGCAGCATTCGTGCTCAGTATCATCCAGCTCCTGGGAGGACTCTGGCCCCAGAGCACCCCTACAGCACAGGCCTGCTTTTGCCCACCTCTGCCCTGAGCAACGCGCTGACAGATCTGTCGCTGTACGCACAGAGCCTCACCTGCACGGCTGGCTGGGTGGCCGAGCAGTTGGCCTTGGACTTGCAGTGTGAGGCTTGTCTTGCCTCTCTGTTTGAGGCAGATGAGAGCAGGCTAAGAAGCAGGTCAGTGCTCTACGTAAAAAAGTTAGGTGGTGTGAGTCTGCCCTCAGCCAGTGTGCACCACATAACAAGCATTTCAGAACAAGTCCTAAACCGATATGGCAAAGTAGGAGGTGCCAACAAAAATACCAAGCTGTGGCATTTGTGTCTAGAACAGAAAGTCTTCCAGGAGCTTCTGGGAGAAAGCCCCCTCTTTCCGACCCTCACAAAGCATTTATTTGAGGGGGAGATGAGCATCAACAACCACTACACAGTCTTAGTAAAGGAAATAACACGGTGTTACTTAAATGTAAGAACACGCCCCGCCCAACACCTGAATTTGAAATACCCTTGTGGAAAGCACAAATTGAAGAGACTGAAGGGAAAGCATTTGTTTCCACCACCACTGGGTAGCTATCAGTGAAGCTAAACACACACTTGGTCTTACTGAGTACTCTGTGGTTCCAAGGATGGCTGTTCCTTGCTTAGGCTCAGTGCTGGACAGATCTAGGCAACACACATGAGGCAACAATGCTGGCAAAACTAGTGTTCATAAGCAGTGATGTTTTGGGCCACTGCAAACCCCCTAACCAGAGTTTAACTGAGCAAAGCAAGGAAGTTTATCCCATCCCCTGTCCTTTCCAGCAGTCCCGCAGAGCAGCCACAAATTTAATGAAACTTCGATGGCAGGTCAGGATGAGCCACGGTTGCTCAAGGTGCCTGGGGCAGGGGTAGGAGACTCTGCAGTGTTCCTGGAAGTGCTGGGTGGTTTCAGTGCTGCAAGTGCTCTTGCCAGAAGAAAACTGATAGTTGATGGGCTTGCAGGGAATCACATGCACTGGCACTTGGATTTCACGAAAAAGCTGTGCTTTATAAAAGCTGGGGGCAGGAAAGCTTGCAGAGCTTCTAATTAAATTGGAAAACAAAGACGTGAGAAGAAAGTGGCACTCAAGTTGTACACAAGCTCTCAACTCCTTTCCAATATGTCTCATCAAGCAGCTAAAGATACTGGTCCAGTCTAGATCCTCTGGCTCAGTGCTGAGCCTGTGACCAGATTGTGTGCAGTGGCATCCAGAAGCACCAGTACCCTCCAGGGGCAGGAATACATGGGTGTGCTGCAGCAGGGCAAGCATTTCAGTTCCCGTTTCATGGTCCCATCCTCCCAGGGCTGGCCTGTGTCCTGCAGCCCAGGGCACACAGCACCCTCCTTTCAGTGTTTCCTGATCACTTGAACCATAGCTTTGATGCCACCAAGTAGGACAGGCTTCTTCAGTTAGTTCATTTCCATGGCAAGGAAGCTGCCTCCAGTGCTTTGCCTGAAACAGCAAAGTTTAGCAGAACTAAGGGGTTTCCCTTTGCCATGCAAAACTGGAGTTGCATCCATAGAGATTGAAGACAACAAACTCCCACAAAACCTGCTGTTCAGTCACTCTCAAGATCCATGATGGAGCTGGGATGAAAACTGGTGATCCGCCACATCCTAGGGCAGTAATAATATTAAAGGTATCGTTCTGCCTACCAGTGACTTGACAAAACTCCCTGGTTGGTTTGGGTTTCTCCTCCTTCCCTTAGTTCTGCTGCACCCAACCCCTCAAGCTCTGCTTTGAGAGCAGCAGCACCACAGAAATTCATACAATCACTGCTGGGAGGAACAAACCAGAGCCTCTGGGCTTTTTTTTCCCCAATCCAAATATCTATGCAAAAAACCATGGTGAAGCCATCACAGTCATGGAGCCATTCCAGCTACAACAGACTTTGCAGGAAATATTCCCTCCCCTCTACATGTGATTTTTGGGACAACTGGCAAAATGCTTCTGAAGTCTCAGTGACAGATTGGTTGCAGTCATGTAATGTTGGAACACTTGCATTGCCTCCAGCTCTAAGATGAGTAGTTATGAACTGTGCCATGGATTGCTGTGCATGACAGCACACCAGTAACCAAGGGATACTTGTACAGAGATTTATTTATCTCTGGTAGCATTTGGTCTCACACTGAAAATCCAAGTCAGTACTTTCATCAGAAGTGGACCTAGTGTTAACAATTTATTTTGATATTTCAGTGACAAACTTTCTGTGTATATTTGTCAGTGCTGAAGCAAAGGAGTGCCAAAAAAAAATCGTATTTACAGAATAGTATAAATGTTTATTTTTTGTGATTTATCTGACTGTTTTATTTGTACAATATAGAAAAGTGTATTCTTTGAATAGGTCTTGTAAATATAAATTTAATTTTTCTACTTTTGGATGTAAACAGAACTATAAAATGAATCCTTGCCCCATTCCCAATTATTTTTTATGTAACTGGATGAACTTGACTGTTAATCTTGTCCAGCAGTTTGATGCAAATGGCTAAGGAAGTACAAAAACCAATTCATACACTCTACACCAGGGAGAAGGGAGAGAGGAATCCAAGCTTAATATTTGAGAAAGCTTGTTCAAAACAAAATAGTACTAAGAGCATTTGATTGCACCTTCAAAGTCTTTACAAGCAAAATATTCTCCAGCAATGCCATCATACATAATTACAACTGTAATCTAAATTTCACAAGTGCTTTTGCACACTGTATATAAATACACATCACAAAAGGTGCAATTTAGAGTAAGACACTGAATATATACAAAATTAACACAGATTGAAGTCTAAACAAAAGGCATATTGCAATCTGTTTGAAAAATAACGTAAGTAGGTATTACTTTATTCACTTACACTAATTTACATTTATACAAATCTTACTGGACAGACTATATTAGGTCACTAGAAGGGAACGGAATATCTGCACTATCTACAGGTAAAGTTACTGCACTGATTTTTTAGTAAATCCAAGTCCTAATAATAAAAAAATGTGGCATTTACTTACACGAGAGGTGGATTCCCTTTTCAGAGATTTGCACAAACATTGCTATTTATGTTCAGGGAGATGTCCTTAGCAGAGAGACCCCGTCAGACAGTGACTGGCAGGTCAGACCTGGTCTGTGAGCCCACCGCTGCTGCTGACTGCCTCCCAAGCCCTTCAAGCCTCCCAGGCATTTCAAGGAGGCACCAGAGAAGGGTCAAGGGCCTTCTGTGCAGTGCACAGGGCTGAGGGTGAAGCATCCTCCCACCCTACGGCCTTCACACACAGAGGCACAAATCTCTGCTGCTGGTGTGCCTAGCCCCTACCTCTCCCCACCCTAGCCCTGCATTTCTCTGTATTTACAGTTTTATAGAAGGAATGCAAAATCCCTTTTGGAAAAAACATAGCTAGTTCAGGCTGCAGTGAGGAAGGTAATAAAAATGCCTGTGATTAAACATGGTTAATGGATGTTCATGATAGGTGAGTAACCCACCAGGTTAATTCTGCAAATGTGTTCCCCTATCAAAAATGTGATCTGATACTGCCTGTAACAAATACTGAAAAAAATCCCCTGCCTTAGTCTATGCCCAGCTATAGCTGATTGCCCCCCATTTAGTGTGAAAGGATCTGCGTCTGTTTTTGTAGCAATCCTGATTCTGTGCTAGTACTTTCTCTGATCACAGCTCTCACAATTATTCTAAACAAAATAAGAGCCCTTATGCCAAGTAAATTGCTTGTAGCGAAGCAGCATCCTGAATACCCACAGCAGGGTAACATGATCCCTACCTGCATTTGTAAGTCGATTCAGATGCAGATTGTCATCTCCAGTGACTTCAGCTTCTCAGGCCTAAACACTTTCCCAGGGTTACAGCTTGATCCTAGAAAAAACTAGGGACTGCACAGCCCTACTTCTAGTGAGGGGTTAGGGTGCTGCAGACCTCTGATAAACCAAGCTTCACCCAAACAACAGCATCAATCTGCTACACACTTTGGTAACACTACGCTGGGCAGACGGTCTGGTGTGGCTGCTCTTGCTCACTTCTGAGGACAGGCCACTGTCTTAGCCTTCAAGTTCCAGCTTAAGAAACACCTGAGCACTCTGCCCCATTCCTATCAAAAATTCTCTGTAATGCCATTCGCCTCTATACTCCTTGGGCCCTGCTCCAGAAACATTCTCCACCACTTGCTCAGTGCTAAATCTGCAAGCAACCCCTCTGTATTATTGCCTATGCATCTCACAGTGCTCCATGTACTACAGGGACATGCTGTGTCAGGTCCTAAATACAAGTACTACCTTCCATTTAGATGCTTATTTCTACCTATTTCCTTTCAGAATTATCTTGGATACACTGGTACCTCCATATTACAGGCCTGTCAGCAAAAGCATGACTTGGCTGTTGACATCACCTGTGTTTTCCTGTATGCACAGTGATGCAAATCCATATACAGTAAATAATATATATTATAATAATTTATATATGCCCTTCAGACAATTATTCTGGGGGAAAGGAGAGAACACACCTAATTCTTAAACCCAGGGTAAAAGCTGTACATGGGGAAGAAGAACTGACTTTTAGGCATTGTCTGACATAGAAGAGAATTTAGCTAAGATTTAAAAGGCTCTACATCTGGTTATAAAAGAATTTCTCATTTCAATCTTACATGGGTCAATTTACAACAAGCACCAAATTAACAAATATTATTAAATTCATCCTTTATGCTAAACCAAAGTGTCCCTGTGCCTTAAGTGTTCTGTTCAGTCCGCTTCATTGTGGCTCATGTGCATGAGTCAGCAGTTCATGGCACAAGGGTCACCTTTGGACTTCCCTGCAGAGCTGATAACCCTCATCAGACAGCGTCCAAACTCCTCCAGGATCATGCGCTCTGCTGCAGCTTTGGACTTGCCCGTCTTCTCCGCTTGCTCTGCCTGTGCCAGGAGGCATTCACAGGTTGCATCGGCCACCTCCTTGGTGACAAACGTAAAGGGCAGCCTGAAACAAAGGGACACCTACTTAGTGTCTGCAAATACACACAAGGCACCTAACTCTGGGGCTGGCAATTTTTTAGTCCAAGGACTGATGAGATTTCATCTACCCCATTGCTTCCAAGAGCCTTTAGGTAGTGAATAAGCCTCAGTTAACAGCCAAAGGAACTGGTGGGTCAGAATCCCTACTGTTACAGGAAAAAAGTGTTCCATTCACTTGACTACTCCCACCTCTATAGCTTACACAGACAAGGCTCAGAGATAACAGGGACATACCTGTCACACACATCAAAAACCTGCATTAGAAACAACTCAAAGAGGGTGCAGCATTAACTTACTTCCCACCACCACTGCTGAGTGCTGGTGTTGGCCTTGTCAGCAAGTCTGAGATCTGGGAAGATAACTTGGTCTTTGCAGCAGTCTGCTGCTGCACCCTGACCTCTGCAGCATCGGCTAAATGCATCAATGTCTTTCGCTCCGGGCTTTCTTCAAAATTTTTACAGCCAATGCATTTGCATATGGAAGAACACATGATTTTTGCCTGAAAGAAACAAAAAAAACATAAGAAACAAACCAAAGAAACCTGCTGCAGGTTTGGCTCCCCTTATAAGAAACCACAACAAAAAGGAGATCTTCTTTTAATCTCTTACCAATTAGAGCAAACTCCCAGGTAGTAGTCTTTTCTGTAAATTCTTACCTTAAGTTGAGATGTCCCAGAATGTATACTTCAATCGAATCATAGAGCGTAGAATGTAAATAAGTGGTTTCCCACTCATCCCTTTCTTCATCAGCCTCCAGTTTCCAGTGAAATTTAGACAGCTGATTTTTGAGAAAGATCAGTCTGTCTCTACACTATCACTACATCCACAGACTGATCAGTTAGCACATGAAGTAACAACAACTTCTGCTTCTGAATTCCAAAGACACATTCTATCCCACAGTATCTGTGGGATGCTGCTTCAACCCCTCCTAGGGACTTGGTACAGTAGATTTCTTTAGGAAATGGTGCTATTCAGTAAAGAACAAATCCAAGCCTAAGTTCAAAGTTGCTAAATTGTTTAAAATTAAAATTACAGAACAGTAATGACCAATTTTTCCATGTACATGGCTTTCTATGTGCAAACTTCTGGGAGGAGAGGTAACATTACAGGAATGGAAACAAACAGAAGAGAAAACATAGCAATACAAGGAAGAGACAAAGCAAATGAGAGAAGTCACTACACTAAAGGGAAAATTCTACTATTTTTAAATGAGATAATGCATCATACCTCATAACATTCACAGTAGTTTTTGAGACATCCCGAGCGTTTACAGTTACACCCTTTGCTGTGCCTCCGATCCGATTCTCCTTCCTTTCCTTTCCCTATTTTGGGCTTGAAGGCTTCAGGGTTTCTGTCGAGGCAGGCCTGTCAATGCAGACCCAAAGGGTCAGTCATTGCATGCAGGGAGCAGAATTTAGAGGTGCAATAAAAGAACTTAAGCCTTGCACATGTGGGAGGAGATCAGGGCATTATACACCCACTCTGCCCCACTCTGGAGCTTCAGAAAAAAGAAGCTAAATGACTTTGATCCCAGGGGGCAGGGGAAAAGGCCCCTCACCTTTATTGCTTTTTGCCTATCATTTTCATGGTCCAGGTTGTTATAACAATTTGTACAGTTGCAGTTATTGCAGAATTCACCGTTTGCAAAACAGTCACAATACCTGAAACAGAAGATGCAGAAGGCATTTGTAAATAGAAACCATCACATTGGTGTGTGAGTATTGACTACCACACTGCAGTACCAGATGTCCCTCCTCTGGCACCAATATGGGTACAGGTCACCCTATGCTCAACTCCACATGTGCAAGCAGTACCAGCCTCACTGCAGAGCCAAAATCCTCTAGTGCAAGACTAGCTGCTGTGTGAAGACACAGGCAGAGCTCATGGGTATCCACCTGAACTCATCACATAGCACAGATCCCCCAAGCAGCAAGAGAAGCTAATGAAACTTTTTCTGAGAGTGACTCTTGGGTTACCCACATATTGAGGGCCAGTCTGCTGCACCACCTTACAGCCAGCTCCTGATCCAGTCAGTCCAAGCCAGGAGCCCTCACAGAGCCAAAACAAAAGGCAAGAAATTGGAGTGGTAGTTAACAGACAAATTAACCCAGCAAGGAGCTTTTATTTTGTTAGTTTTGCCCTTAAGCTGGGATGGAAGAATAGAAAAGGGATAACAATTGGTACATCTCGGAGACTTTGAAGCACAGGCAACCAACAGAAGGATCTGAGTGAGGACAAAGCAGACTTTAAAAAGAGACACATATATGAACAAAAAGCAGCAAAACATGGTCAGGGAAAGCCAATCATGTTGCCATGCCTCTTATGTACCTCTGGTGCCTCCCATCAAAAACAACATCTCACCGATCCACAGACTCACAGATCTAATACGAGGAAATACCACATTCATTCCCAGCTCAAACATGGCTTTAGGCCACAACAAACTCCACCATGTTTCAAAGCTTCCAGGACCACCAGCTAATAGCTAAAAACTGATGATCCTCTTCACTTGCTTTTCAAATCCTGCTGGGGGTGTGTGGACATTTTTTGGAGCCTAAACCCATTGCTGTGCCTTGCCCAGCCTAGCACGACATAAACTAGATTAGGGTTGTCCTGGAGCCCACTGCAACCCTTCCTCAGGTTGAAATGGATTTTGGAGATTTTTAGCATCTTGAATGGTCCCAGGGACAAATTAAATCAAAGCTTTTACAATCTGTAGTAGCTCTCCTTTCTTTTTTAAAATTCAGTGGTAGAATAGTCCTGGTTTCCAAAAGAACCAGGGCCAGCATCAATCCAGAGCAAATAACTGAGTTGACTTCTTAGTAGAATAGGCTATTATGTGCCTACCTTACATGAGGATTTGGGAAAAAATAAGTTCCCCTCCAGACAAAAAAAAAAAGGTTTACTAGTGAGAAAGCACCTGTGCCAGAGTGAATTAACCATCTGCTCTGCACCAATGCCCAGAACACATAACATCAGTGATTTACAAGGACAGTTTGCTTCCTAACAGCATTCTGAAGGTGCAAATTATTCCCAGTGATGCCATTCCTCTCCCAGCATTTCTAGGGCACATTCAGGCACCAAGACCTAACCCCCTACACCTCTAACATACACTGGGCACTGTGAGGTCAGTCATGTATGCAAAATATCTGAAAAACAGCTACACACCTTCCTGCTGCCGAACAGACAAGTCTGAGACCAGGAAACACAGGGCACACCTCCCCATACAAAGGTGGGGTGCACTACACAAAAAGACACCCAAGCTTAAGAGTTTAAACAAACTTCTTAACTTGGGTTCAGATGCAATTGCATCACTTCCCCTTCAAGTACCACACCCCTGATTTCCTCTTCATTGTCTAGGATTCAGGGAACCACAGATTAATTTCAGTATCTCCTCCCATTCCTGTCCCAGAAACATCAGTAAACTGACTCTGATCAAGGTGAAGAAGCTCTCCTCAGCTCCAAATGTTTTTGTGTCAAATTATTACAAATACATGGAATGGAACAGCACAATATCTCATCGATAAGCAAGATGTAGACCTATCAGTGAAGAATCACTTGTCTATTCAATCCTTTAATAAAATACACACAGCCCAATACATGCTGATGTATTTGATCTAGGATGGTATTACTGATCACTTCACCAAAGTACAGTAAATGCCCATGAATGATACCATGAGATACCATTTCACTCATGGTACCAACAGGGCAACCAGAGCTGCTGAGTGGAATTGGCTCCACCACGCAATAAGGTACATAATGCAAAATGAGACCTTTTTAAATGTTACGCTCCACACAGCTCACAGGAGCTGCAAAATTACACAGGCTCTGTAACATCTTCGCCAATATCCATTTTAAATCAGCATCTAGACATAAAATTTCGGATATACTTAAAACCATTATATTCTGATGTTTGGTGCACATTTGTGATGTTAAAAATAAGGCTTAAATGAAAAAAAAAAAACTGTACCAAGCTGTACTTACAATTTCAAACACAGAGATTTAGTACAATTGCAAGGCTTCCTGGGGCGGTTTGCAGACTCAGAAGAAATTATTCTGGGGGGAGAAAAGGGCATTTATATATACACAGTTTTATCAGTTTCTTTCTTTTTTAAATTCATATAAACCGCTCCTAATAAAAACTTGGAAAAATCTTTCTATTCCCCTTGGATTAGGTTTTTGGCTGACTGTGTTTAAGTAACTATTATAAATAGTGCCTTTCCAGCCCAGAAAGAGATGGATTATTTGCTGCAAATTTGGATGCATGCCTGAAGTAGAAATTAGGCTTTAAAGCTAGAGGAAGCATAACTAAAAAACTGGAGTCAGGGAATCCTTCTCCAGAATCCCTTCAAGTGCAGTGGGACCAGATCCAACCAAAATTCACACAACATGATTGTGCCTTTTCTTTTGTTCTACTTGGAATTAAAAAAATCCAAGAAAACAACAAAAAAAAAATACCCCTCTGGAATAATGGGAAAGCAAGCCAAACCACAGTATTCAGTTTTCAGATAAATTTTATAGTAGACAAGTCTTTAACTGCTCCTAAGACTTGGATTTTGTGACACTAATCACATCTGATGAGATTTATTCCATCCCTATCCAGCAATTTCTGCACGTAATACCAGGGAGATTAAATCAAACCCGTTCATTTGAATAGCTGCATCTGGATTTGGGATTCGTTTGCATCAGTTGAGGTTGCAGCAACAAAAAGCAACTTCATGTCACAATTTCCAGCAAACACTAACACAAAAGGACTGTGCAGAACAGCTAAGCCTGCTGGATTGGCAAAGGGAAAATAATATATGTTAGCTGTTATTTTCATCCTTAAAGGAAAAATGCATGACTGAAAAAACCCAAAGCCTCCTATCAGCATCCATTTTGCTGTTTGGCTGAATTTCTGCATGTGTTAAGCATCTAGCTTATATGTTGTCCAGAACCTCTTTGCAGCAATGTTGAGAAATAGTTGAGGCCTGTAGCTCACAGGTGCTGTTGCAAATAAAAAAAAGAGCAACAGGGAGCTTTCAGGTCAACTTCCTGCTACATGAATTCAAAAAACAGAAAGAAAAACACAGCTTTGATCAAGAGACTGGCTCAAATGTCAGAGAGATCCACACCTTTCAGTCAGAGGTAATAATCACACCACAGCAGACTCGAGAATTCCCCAAACCAAACTCCAAAACCTCATGCCTATTCAAGCAACCTATTCTACAGGTTTTGAGATTTTTTTTTTTTTTCCAGAATTCTTACCCATTAAATGGCAGCCGTGCCTGGGACTGGACACTGGATGTCCCTGTGAAGCCAGTGTTGCTTGCTATGGATACATAGGATGACTGTTGTAGCTAACAAAACAAAAAGGTTAATGCCTGACGTGAAAGAAATTATAAACAAGAGGATGTGTTGCTGGTCTTTAAATTAGCTTTCCAGACATGGCTACAAAAATAACTTCCTTCTAAGAATACTTTTAGACACTTACAGAACTTGGACCAGGTGGCAACTTCCTGTCTCCATACTTAGCATAAAAATACTATTTTAGATTGTATTTTTTGTTGTCTATTACAGTGTCTAGATCCATACAGATGACAGGGATAACACACAGAAATGTTCAGACCACAAACAGCTCCTGTTCTAAAAACATGCTAATTTTCCCCCTAATAGAGCAGAATCACTTCCTGCACAAATTAGTAGCTTCCTTTATATACAAGCCACTTACTATGAAAGTAAGCAAAATGGTTTGCATTCCAACTCCTCTGCATACCTGAACCCACCACTTACTTTTCACGTTAAAAAACTAAAATCTCGTAAGAGCCTGCAAAACAACACTGCTCTGGGCCACCTTCTTCAGCATTACCTAGAAGCAGCTGTTTGCTTCTGCTGGGACAGGTTCTGGGGACATACTGGCACACAGCAAGAAATAGACCTACTATGGCCAGGCAAATGGGGACAGGCTGTGACTGGAACACAAACCTCAGAGGAGAGGTCCAAGAGATGCTAGTTTCAAGTAAAATTTGCAGAACTAGACTGGAAGGATGCAGTAACAACCTTCAGGGTCAAACTGCAATTGTGACAAAACCAAAAGGCAACCAGAAACCAGTCTGATACCAGTAATACCAGGAGCTATCAGAGTCTTTGTTTCTACAAACTTCAGCCTTCAGCAGAACATTCAATTTATTCTACTTTTCATCCTGAACGTTGGTCAGATCCTGGCAAAGAGCAAAAAACTAATCCCTAGGCCTCAGTTGGGGTGATTGGTACCAGCTGCTTCTGACCCCTGGCAATGTGCTTAGCATTAACTAACACCATTTCATAATGAAGACAGCCATTCTCTGTGACCAAGCAGGCCACATATATGCTTCCCTTTCTCCTCATCACCAGGCTCTGAAAGTCCTGTGAAGAAAGCAGACAAACCAATAGGATTTCTTCTTCCCCTCACTACAGGTCTCAGGATTCCTAGGCACCAGGTCAATTACTCTGCTCCTTACTGGCCATGGAGGTATCAGGCACCCAGACAACCAGGTGATGGTGATTGTCAGGGAACAGGGAAGTGTGACAGCACACAGAACAGTTATAAAATCAAGCTGTTCCAAGTCCTGAGTAATGAACCTGTACTGGAACTGCTGCTGGACACTGAGCCCTGTGACTGCCAGTGGCCAGGGTCACCTCCATTGACATATGCTTCCTTTGAGGACCAAATGACTTGCACCCTTTCATATGATTTTCAAGTCTAGGTTATGACTGCTAAAGTGATAAAGCAAACTGTGTATCAATATCTGATATGCAGGGTCTAGGTGATTAGAAATTCCAAATTGAGATTTAGGTGATTTGAGTAAGTTGGCATTACAAATTCTGTACTACATTATTCAAAATTGCACTACACTGATTCTGCTTACAGAAATGCTGTGCTATTATGCTAATAACTCCTTTGAGAAAACAAAGCTTTAATTGCAACCATGATTGAAATTAAAGTGCCATCATCATTCTGCCAAGGGTCCCTAAAAGAAACTGTTGCCTCAGTGTCAGGTGGCAGTCACAGAGCAGAAACCTTTAAGAGAAAGGCAGAATATTCCACAAGAGCAGCATTTGCTTAACCATCTCTGGGAAAGGCCATACCTGTGTGACATACTGAGCTGGAAGGACTGCATAGCCAACATTTCCTGTGCCAGGGGCTGGTGCCAGCACAGTGCCCGGGGGGAGGTTGGTGAGGTTGGGCTGGATCTGCGGCAGTGGAGTGGCTGGCATGATAAGCCTTTGTTGGGGCTGACTGGTAGTGACTATTTGAGAAGTTGAGTTAATTGGTTTGGGCACCACCTGGAAAGAAAAGAGCTCTTTATGAAATCAGTGTTTCAGTCATTCAGAACACACTTTGATTAGTAGAACAGTTCTCTGCAGAGCTGGAAGCAGACTTTTTTTCTGTCCAACCAAAACAGGTCAGGACTATTACATGACTTAAACTCAACTCACCTGTTTCACAGTCTGTGCTGGCACTATGGGAACTGACATACGCACGGGGGTCGCGTTCACCACCACGGGCTTCGCTGGTGTCAAGAAACAACATCATAAGAATGTGTGTTAGTCACTCCAAGTGCAAGTTCGGCCCTTCAGACTTTCACATGTGCATAACACAGAGGTACTTAACACTGTAACTCATGGCATGCAACACTTGGATCTAGACTACACCTTTGTAAATAGCTACTTGGCCCAAGAGTGTGTGCACATATTTCACAGCAATGGTCTAAAAAACCAGCCAGGGTGCAGACCTCCTTTGGACACTGGATTTCCCTTACATCTCTTTTCCCTTTGAAATCTTTTATTCCATCACCCCTCTGGAAAGCATGGACAGAAACCAGCAAAAACACCTGACACTTCTAAAGCAATTTACATGGAAGGATCTTCATGTTACAGGAGTTTTGGCAATATGCTTGTGGGCTGTCCTGCCTTCACGCTCTTCATATAGAGGAGATGGGAAAGGTCATGAACCACCCACAAATCTGGTCAACTAGGGAAAAGCAACCTAAAATGCTCCCAGGATTCAGGCCCAACTACAGAGCAATTTGACACAAAGGAGCATTTTCACACACAGACCAGAGGTAGCAGGAGAATATGGAATTTTTGGAAGTCTTACCACAAAACCAAGTACATCTGGCAGTTGTCACAGATCTGTTATGTATTCATTTTAATAATTACAAAACAAACATGAAAGAAAAACCCAACAGAGGCTTCAGACAATGTTACCACCAGTACTTACCCTGTTGCAGAGGCTGAGTATTCGTACTGGGATTTTGACTGGCAGACTGGGTTGAACTACTGGCTGTTGTGGCAGTAACGAGTCTGACATAATGGAACTTGCTTCCAGGTACCTGAATCTGCTGAACATTGGGTGCAGTTGCCAAGGGAATAATTGTCTTAAATTGAGATGTACCCATTCCTCCTACAGTAATGGTCTGCACTGCTGATTTCACAGCCTGTTAAGCCAACACAGACAGCACGAAGTTACTTGTACAAAGGAAGAAAGAACATCAGCATGTTTATTTCTCACTTTGTTAGTGAGCAACTCTAACGTACCATTCCTACCCTTGAGAGGGAAGACAGTTACCCTCTTTTTGCTTTCAAAAGTTGAACAGATGCAAAGATTAAATGCCTCTCAACAGCTCAGAGTAAACTCAGTTCCATTTTCAGTGCTCTACACCAAACACCAGAGTAAACTAGTATTTACATGAGTAGGGTGACTCAGGCCACTTCACAAGATACAACATCTGCCAAAACTATTTCCAGTAACTACAGCGAACATGGCTCAGTTTGTCTTCCACAATCAAGCAACCGAACACAGAAATATTGCTACTATTAAAAGCACACGGTAAGAACTTGCAAAACAGTTTTTCTGGACTGCATCACAATTTATCTGCGTGTGTACAGATATGTCCTTTTAAGATAGTTTGTAATTAATCCACAGAAATCACTGTGCAACCCTTGAGAGGAAAAGGGAACAGAATCTCTAACTGATGGACATCAGAAAGAGTACAAGCTGAGAAATGAAAGAAGCAAGAACAATGAGGAGTAGCAAAACAAATTCATTAAGAAAAAAGGCAAAATGCTGAAAGAAAGGGAGCTCAGCAGACCTGTGCTACCTTACAGCTGGAATTTGCAAAAGTTCACCTTTCCAACTTTTCTCAAACTACAAACTAATAACAAGAAAGTTTTATTTCATTTATACACATTCATAAGTCTACTGGTTTGATAACAGCCTCTTTTCCCAGACTTGCTCAATCTCAAACCTTGATTTCTTCCTTTTTCTCCTTCCATTTAACTTTTTTTAGAGCTCAGCTTTTTATTCTCAGTATCTTTTACCATTGATATTAAGCATATTGTCCTGACATCAAGTTTAAGTATTACACTTGGTTGACAGTATGATGTGAATTCTTATGAGAACATTTTACCAGCTGCCCAGCTTTCAGCAACTACATTAATGAAATCTCAATTTGCACACATTTTACTAGAAAAAAACCTCTGCTCTTCTAAAAGGTGTTTTCTTGGGATTTTTTATTTATCTTAAGATATTTTATACCTTAACAAGCCAGAGCATCAAAATAAGCACAATGCAAGCACAGTCACAGACATTATCAAAGAGAGACCAGTTCTCTCTAGTACACAAATGAGTAGCTGTTATCCAAGGACAAGTGGGAAAATTGTAAAATTCAAGGGACAGTTCTTCTAAGGGCATGTTCTTGAGTCCAGTGAAGACAGGTGGAGCCCCTGTGTTGTGTCAGATAGCTTTGCAACTCCACAAACATCTCCATTTTCTCACTTAAGGTGCTTGCATTAGAGAGACTTAACCTTTCAACAACTATTTCAGAAGACAGTTCTCCCTGGGGAAAAAATGAGTTCAAATCTCTATGGTGTCCATATTCCCACATCAGCATTCCAATTATCTCCTGTATCAGTAAGATAAGACTGGGAAAATCTGTCTTAGTCACTGGTCTCATGTTTTACATGTGTGTCCACTCCCAGCTATATCCATACTGTGGATTTATTTACACCCATACACATCCCTTCATGTTTACCACAACAAGAGTACAGATATTATGATAGAAAAAGATTTACCTAAGATCACAAAAGAGGAAAACAGCAAAAACTGTCATTTGTAAGAAAGATCAGTTTTGTCTTGTGATTAATTAATGCAAAACTATTTATAAAAGCTATTATGGAAAACCCCGTTTTTCTAGAAATGAGACATAGGAAATAAATAATTTCTGGTTCTGTAGGTTTCAGCCCAGACCTCTACAGCAGGAATATGAACTCCACTGCTGCAAACCTCAGAAATACCTGGAAAGCAGCCCTAGGCAGTGGCATAGAAACATTGTCAGAAGAAAGAGAACCACCCAAAGAACTCCTCCTCATGTCACAGAGTTCTTCATGTGACTTGGGAGATTCAGGACACAGAAACAAGAATTTGCACCAAGTGGGCTTTCCAGGTTGGAAAGCTACTTTCTAACAGCACGCCCTTGTATGGGCTTGCAATGGTTTGCACCCCTCAACTGAAGAAGTATACACGCCTTGGGGCAATACTTTTGCCAGTTCCTAAGCAAACACCATTCCAAGAACAGCGGCAGACGGCCCGCTGCCAACCCGCGGTCCAACCCTGCAGTTTCCAGCAAGCAATGACACAGACACAGCAGAAGACAAAGGAAAGTCGGTCTGTACCTGGGTGGTTGTGTGGTTGACTATAGCCTTCCCAGGGGAGGAGGGTGCTGACTGCTGCACTGTGAGGATCTGCTGTCCTAACGCTACATTCAGTGGGACGCCCACCGTCTTCTGGGGGGAGTTGGGAGGCTGGGAGGCCACTGACACCACTGTTAGCTGCTTGGCAAAACAAAAAGCAGTTTAAACCTCTGTGCAGGATACAGGACCCTGTACATACACATTCCCCTCCTTAGGGCAGCACGGCTCTCCACCAGAACAGAGCTGTTTCTGTGAACAAGGGTCCTGGATTTAACCACAACTCACACGGGTCCAGCTGTGACAAGAGTAAATAGAGCCCTTAGGAACTTGAAGGCATCATTGGTTTCCAGCACCAACAGGCTCCTGCAGAAACCTAGCACAGCATCTGGGTGGGAGTTAGGGGTTGTCTTTCCATTTGTTTTCTCAGGGTTTTTTTAAGGAAATTATCCCATTAAAGCCTGAGCATTGTCAAGAGGGATCTTCTAAATAAATGCATTATAATTGGTACAATGACTATTTCATCACAAATAGGAATTTTTAAAAAAAGCTGTTTAAAAGAAAATTCTCACCTCACACTACTGATTCAGTCAAAGTATAAGAACATCAGTACTTTCAAATCTACACTGCAGTTTCCCAGAGATGCAGTCTTCTGACCATATTTCTTCAGAGTGAAGTGTTTAAACACTCTATATAAACACATTCCTTCCAAGGCTGGTTTTCTACTTTTTGTTCTGAACTTCCTTATATTTTAAGAAAAATCAGGTACTTAGAATTACTTATTGACAGTAAATTCAAGATGTAACCCTAAAAAGTCTTTTCACACTCACTCCTAGTTAAAGTAACTTTAGAATAAAAATCAACTTTTTCATGTTGCTTCTCTTACTAATAATTGTCAAACACAAGTCCTTTACTCCATCTGTATAATATTACATTACTAAAGAATAGCCAAACTAAAATAATTCTTTGTTCTTTATTTGCTTTTTATTCATGATATTTCAGTTTGCCTGCACTGTGCATCTTGTCCCCCTCTCTCCCTTTCTGCAGCAATATTTCTCTTCTCGAGGCAATTATCAAATCTAAAACACAAGTGTCACCTTGACCTGTGCCAATCTCCAGCTCTGTGCAAGGACCACTGCAAATCTCATTCACTTCAGAAATGATCAGGGAAGACTGAATTGCCTGTGCAGTAGCAGGAATGGTTAGTAAGTGCTGACCTATTAATATTATTGAGGTCTCCTCTTAAACAGCCTGTTGATGTTTTATGAAGGCATTAAAAATAGTCTGAGTGCTTGGCTAAGAGGGAACAGCTGCTCTCAGAATCAATGCTTAGGGAATGGCAAGAAATGGCAGGAATGGGAAACTATGCAGTAATGCATATCTGCTTAAAACCATAGTAAGGGAGCTAGTTGAAAAAAATCTAAATTAGGGCATTACCACAGAGCATTGTGATGCAAAATGGAGACTCTGGAGATATTTTTATGGACTCTGGAGACAAGTTTAGTATCTCTGGAGAGATAATAAACAGCTCGTAGCAAAGACACAGAGAGCTCCATTCAGACCACTGTGCAGGAGGGATAGAAGGCTGCAGCCAGAACAGATCCTTACCTTATTGGGGGATTTGAGTGGTGAGATAGCTATTTTATTCGGTGTCTGTTGTGTTGTTGTACTCAAAGATGATCCAATGACTCCACTCTCAGAGATGGTTATTGTCTTTGGTGGTGTCCCTGGAGCAGACTGTGAAAAAACCCTACCTACAAACAATGAAGATACCATCAGCTCCAGTTATCCCTGGTCACAGTAACTGTTAAAGCAAAGTTTTCCCTGCCATTTGTGCAATTTGTCCCTACTTCTGAGAGTGTATGACCTGATAGGAAGGACACTGCCACTCTTTAAGTTAGATTTAGCAACAAAGAAGAAAACAATTGCTGTTATTACAAACAAAAAGACAGTTGGCTCAGGCTTAAAAAAAGAGCCAAAATGCACATTGAGCTTTCTGTACCATTCAGCTGACAATTCTTGACAGCCAGGACAGCATCCTGAGGAGCAGAGCCCTCCAGTACACCCAGCCAGCTGGCAGTTTCCTGGGAAAGCCCTGGGCTGCTGCCAATGCACAGAGAAACTGAGCATCAGTGGGGGACTACTTCCTTTGAAACCTCAGCCATCAAACATGAGATGTGTTACAGTGATCAAGAAAAAGATGTTTGGTCTGTCTACAATCAGCTCTGAGGTTTTTGGGATTTTTCTTTTCTCTGTTGATGGTTGCCTCTTTCACTGCCTAACAGTTTTTAGTCACACTACCACCCATGTTTTCATGTGTGTGTCATATATTATCTCACTTTTTACAATGCCAAAGAAGAGTAAACATCAAAAACAGCAGCTCCAAATCATGACATCAGTTTCAGGAATATTGCAAACTCCCATAATGGAAAACAGATTCTTTTTTCCATACTTTCTAAGTTTCTTTCCAAAGAATGCTTGACCACTGAGCTTTCCTCTGCTCCACTTTGGTTCAGACTCATTTCTGTCATAGCTTCTGTCACCCATTCTCTTGTACTACATTTATAAAAATAAAAAACAAACAAATACCAGCATAACTTTTCCATCCAAAATCAACTAGTGGCATAACAATTAAAGTCAACTGGAACTAACAAGAAAAAACACTATCCTCATAGCAAGCTGATTTCCTCTGAAGTCTGTGTGCTCTAAAATAACCACTTTTGTGCAGTCTAACTAACAGCACAGATAGTTGCCAGCAGCTGCTAAAGCCACATGCAATCTGAAGAACGTCAGTTTGTGGGGAAAAAAACATCTAGAGGTTTCAATCCTTTGAATTGTTTTCTTGGTGACAGCTTTCCCTTTCTCACTACATCTCCTCCTTGGCATCAGCTTCCTAAAGAGAATCTCGTTGCTTATATTGACAAGTCTTTTGAGATTACAACTTCCACCTCAGCTTTCAGAAATTTCCAGGCAATTAAAAATATTTATCAGATTCATGAAAACATGCATAAAAAAAATCAAAACACAAACCACAAATGTTACACCTGCTCTAAAGTGATGCCAGCCTCTCAAAGCTGGCAAGCTGTGCTGGCTGTTTGGAATGGTGAGGGAAAAAACAATATTTACAGATTTCCCTCTCAATTAATGAAGCAACTTTACCTCTCAGTGACAGTTTTAGTGATGGCTCAGGCACAGGTGATTTTTCAAAATACTGATTTAAAAACTGCAAGTAATTTTTAATGTTTTTGCGTTGGGTTTTTTGTTTGTTTGGAATTTTTTTTTTTTTAACACACAACTTAATTCAGATATTTATAAGCATAGCAATCTTCTTACAGGTCTATATATTTGGTAGGGAATTTGAGAAAGGGGACAAACTGGGGAGTGGGATGGAGAATTCCTCTTTCACCTGAAACACATATCAGGCTGCAGGCAGCCTGACAACTCAAGAAAAAGATTATGTGCCAGCTATGTGCCATTCACTGGCACCTATCAGTGTTTTGAATACAGGAGACAGTTGCATCCTTCTTAAAACCAGCTCAAGTCCCAGTGCTGTAAAGACTTAAAAATTTGTTTAAATACCTGGGAAACATTTTAGGCCTACTTAGACTGATAAATCTGTAAGCAGTTAGACATCCTTCAAAGCTCTAACGATGAATCCAACTTCCTACATTTGTCTTTTTCAAAAAAATTAGATGCCTCAGATGTTTAGCAACAGACACCCTGCCATTATAAACAAGGTATTACACTGTGGTTTTTTCTTTAATTTTGTTGGTGTTTTTGCTGTTGTTCTGTGGTCGGTTTGGCTTTTATATTTTTCTAAGGATGTGTAGAGTTGTTTTCCAAAGGGAAAGACCATTTGTTATTTGACTTAATTACTTTCCTAGACACTTCTGTGATCGTTATTTTTGAAGTAGGTGAGCAACTTAACAAAAACAACACAGCTTTATGCACTTTCTTCATTCATTTTTTTCTGTTACTTGCATATATTACATTTAAGTCCAACTATAAGCAGGTTAAAGTAATACAAAAGCATGTGTCTCCCTTTCCCCCTGTGTATTTATAAAATGTTCCTACAAATACTTTCTGTTCATCAAGTAATCTTTTCTGTGGCTCTGGGGTATTTTTTTTTTCTCCTCCCCAAAATCCATGAAGTAAAAGTACCTTGCAGTAAAAGCAACTCTGCAGTTATCAAGATTATTCTAAACAAGCTAAGTATAAAGGTACCAACAACTGCATTTATCTGCTTCTACCAAAAAAGTTTTCTGATTTTTTTTTCAATTACTTGAGGTACTTTGACAGAAACTACAGTAAAAGTGTTGAGACAGAAGAATTTCTACAATTACCATTTGTTTGAAAAGCCTTTAAAATGGCAAAGCAAAACAAGTCAAAGTAGTACAACCTGAAATGACTGGTGACACTTGAGTGGTCTGCCCTGTAACAGCTTTGCTATTGATTGGTTTTGCAAATATCAGCTTGGTGATCACCGGGCCAGAAGTTGGGGTTCGAGTCTTCTTCGCAATCTAAAAGATGGAGGAAAAAAGATCTAAAGTAACTTGAGCATTTTGGATCTAAATTATTGTATTGTTAAGTACATTAAAAAATAAAAAGGGCAATACTTGCACACATAATTAGAAGAAAAACTGTGTATTTTGCATTTCATCTCCACTTCTCCTTACGGAAAGAACTAGGAGATTATCCTTGACACTTCAGAATGCCAGCTACCGAAGTAGGATAGCCAAATCCCTCTCAGCTTTTTCAGAAGATAGCTCTCTGTGCAAACATCTCATCTTCAAGATGCTGAAATTATTTCTTACGTGTGGTTGTCTAGATAAAGATGTCAAAATTAAATGCGCAACTCTCAGTATTCAAAGCTTTAAATGAAGTCACTTCTTTTTTCAGCCAACCAGGACAAAACTTGTCCCCTGGTGATTTAAATATGACCACTACTGCTCTGAAACATTTCTTGACCATATTGATATAGCAGCACACTTGTTTTGCAAATGGGGAAAATACTTTCTGCAACAGTTCCCCAAAAGCACATGGATCATCAGTGCCTGAAAGTTTTGAGTACTCACTAGCCAAGAACAAATCAGTTGGCTACCTCCAGGTATAAGGAGATCTATTTTCATATTGCAATCCAGTCTCCTGAAACACAGCAGGACCAAGAACATGTACAGCAATTCAGTAACAGATCACTTCAGCTTGAAATCTTTGTAAGCATGAGTATATAGTCTTATAAGTTTTAAAGAAGATTTTTCTCCCCTTCCACACTGAGATAAGTTAACTACCAGTTCCATTTATTCCAGGAGTTGGCACCCAGCTAATGAATAGTTCAATTTAGAGGCTGACTTTTTCCAAAGACTTTTAACCTGCTGACTGCAGGGGCTGTCTGTGGGTGTGGTCTGAGCCCATGCGAGCACGCTGGAAGGCTGTGTGCTCACATTTACTGAAGCCCTTACACCTGCCCACCCCACAGGTGAGGCATATCCTGCCCCTCCTCCACCATATCCCTTGGGCATCAGCCATCAACTCCAGCAATATCAGAGAGGCACAACATTAACATCCACATGGGGAGCCACCTCTCAAGGGCACAGAGTCACCTTTCTTACTCAAGCAGCTAAATCAGAGATCTGCCTGACATGCAAAGATACAGAGCTGACAGCTACTTTGGACAGCCTGAGACAGTTACAAATGCTCAAATGAAGCAATTGAGTAGGCTGGAAGTTATGGTTTTCTCCATAAAACCCTATCTATAGAATTGGTTGCCTGAAAACACTTTTTTTTACAACCACATAAGGCAAAAACATTCAAAGTATTCAGCAGCACATAACAAATTCCTCAGATGCTCCACAAAAAGGACACGTGAGGCTGCCCCAGCTCCCAGCAGCACAGTCATGGCACTGCCAGGGAAGCTGGAGCTCCCCTCTGCTATGGCACTGGAGCCCTCCAGGTTGCTGTGGAAAGCCAAGGGCACCTCAGTGTGCCCAAGCTCCACCCAGCCAGGGAAGCCAGCAAGGAGCAGCTCTGACACCAGGCACCACCAGAGAATGGACTGCATTTAAAAGAAGCCATGTGCTGCTCCACAGTTAGACTACAAGTGCTCCTCAGAGGAAAGCTCCATCTCAGAACAAATATGCTGCTCCTCAGGCACAGTAAGTGCTTTATGGGTGATATATAATTGTCAAGGCTTTAAAATGAAACCAAGGACAAATAAGCCTGTTCTTTTTTGAAATATATTAACTAAAACTTTGAAACATAAATTGTTTGAAGAAGGAAGCTTCATTCACAGCCCTGCTCACAAATTTAACTCAAATCCATTTTTAAACTTCAAGGATTCAATTACCTTAGCACATATACAGCTGATAGATGAACAGGCATTTTATCCGTAATTTTTTTTCTCAGGTTGGACACACTTTCTTATCAATTCTATAATTCTTATCAATTTCATCTGCTTGATTTGAGATTTCTGTTTTGCTTAAATTAACCATACCTTGCCATAAGGTATTATTGCAACTCAACTGCTATTGCTTTTTCTCTGAAGTGAGAGCTAAGTCTGGCTCAGAACATGATGAGCACTCAGCAGGAACAGCCAGCTCTGGGTAACAGCAGTTTCCCAGTAACAGTCAATAAATGTGCTTAAATTACTTACATGAATGTGTGTAAAATACTACCAACCATTAACACAAAGTATTTCCAAAAAAACCTGAAAAATCCCCAAATAACAGGTCAACACAAGTAGCTCTGCTTCCCTCATACTGGACTTGCAGTCTCCTCCTCAAATAAATTTCCCCCTGCTTTTTAGGTGAACTGTTTGTCTACAAAGAGGGAGGTCTAATAAACAAGGGAATCCCCTCAGGGCTTAGGAAAGAGCAAGACAAATGTGAGGTTATAAATGAGGAACAGCACTCCTGCCCCTACCTGATGCCAGGCAAGCTTTTCTGAGGTTTATGGCACTGGATAACCCCAGCCACCAGGGAGAAGCTTCTTGGCACCACTGGGAAACTCACAGCCCATTTCAGTAAAGACTGGAGAAGCCAGAGGAAATAATCAAGATGCCCCTTTGATACCTCAAAATGGGCAAGTTCTCTGGAGCACTCTGCCATTCCCTGTATCGATCACAAGGAGCTTAGCCTTATCCCCCTGCCTACATAAGCTAAGCATGCCCTCTGCAAGTTACTTTGAGTTAGACTGCAAATATATTTCCTAGAGCAACAAGCTCTTCCATAGCAATGTTATTATATTTAGGAGCACACACCAAGCCCCCTTCCCCTACAGAAGTCAAGAGATTTACCTGAAGGCAACTTGACTTCCAAGGGTCAAGTTCTGTCTTCCTAAACACTCTCCATGGAGGATGAACTAGTAAGTTCATAGAGCTGGACTTTGCTTTTAGACTCTGTTCTATTAATACAGAAATAGGCACACTCATACCTCACATTTCATGCTGGATATCCACAGTCAGCTACCACAAAGGAGCTAATCCACTATAAATCCACTCCCTAGAAGACCTGTTGGGAGCCTGTCCATGTACCCACTCTCTATGTCATTTATATTTGGCATAACATGAAAATTCAGGGACTCTAGAAATAGAAAAGAACACCTTAACTTCAGAGATGAAGAAACTGAGCTAGGAATGGGAGTTTGAAGTTAGGGAGTGCACAAGGTCCCTTTTCAATGATGAAATAAAGCCACAATGATGGCTCAGTAGGTGCCTTGCCATGGTAGCAACAATGCTATGGACGCTGTTAAAACCAGAGCCAGTTACCACACAAAACAAGCCCAAGGCAGACTTAACAGCAGCCACGGTGATATGTCTGGACACCTGGTTCAGAGTCACGTGCAAGGCCAAACTCCTGCTTAATAAACCTGGACTAAAGCAGCAGAGCAGCAGGCACACTACCACTTTTAAGGCTGTAGGCAGGCAGGAGCCACCGGCTGAAAGCAGATGTACTTGCCCAGCAGTTTTTTCCCACACATCCATGGCACTAGTTTCAGCTAAATCAGGACAAGCTGCTATAAGGACAGTAATTAACCTCTGGATATCGACGAGGCCAAAGGCCCTGCCACACTTAACACCTCTCAGTCTCATACATCTAGAGCTGTAAGCGAAGGAGTCAAATTCCAAGAAACATTTTGCTGAACCCTACCAATTATGCTTCAGGTGCTGAGACTTCAACTATCACAATTAGATTACAAGATTAGATTAGATGTCAAGGCAATTGAGTTTCTCTAATGATATGCAAAGCCTTTATGATAGTGACCACAAGAACTGATAAGAGCTCTTTGTCATCTAATCTGTACCAGTTCATTCTCAGCACCAAGTCAAAGTCTTGTGCTGCCCTCCCTCTGAAATACCTGATTCACAGGAGATAAATGACACAAGACCCACGGGGAGTTCAGGGAGGCATTCACAGCCTCCTTTTCCACTCACCGAAAGCGTAAGGGGCTTGTTCAGGGTGATGGGGTAAAAGAATCACTTCATTTTCTAAGATAGGGACTCAAGGTGTGGGTTATCTCCCCTGTCATTCAGGGCAGAGTAGAGCCAGAATCTCTTACCCAGCCTCATACGTCACTCTGATACTTCAGAAATTTTCTACAGGGAAAAGCACTGTCTATGAAGTGCTAATGCAATCACTTCCCCTGCAATATCGGGTGCTAATCTTGTCTTCTTGCTTTTCATTTCTACTTCCTCCTCTCCTTGTGGGAAAAAAGGAATGTCAAGTGCTAAAAAATCAATCTGTTTTGCAAAGGGAACCAATGCTTAGCAAAAAGAAACCACAAGGAAATAAATTTACCCAAACTGCAATTAACTAGATTTAAAAACAGATGCAAGTCCATCAGTAAGAGCTTTTGCTAAGGAACGTGTAGAATTCCCAATGGCAAATCTCAGAGGTCGATGGCCAAGCTGCTGATTTCAGTCCCTGACAGCACAAATCATCTCATGCAAGGAAAAACCACATCACAGCTAAGTCGTTCTCCCCAGTTTCCTGTACCTGTCACTAGGCAGTGAATAATGAAGCCAAGTAACAGCAACTGATGTGCTCTTAAATGTTCCTATGATGAATAAAGAGCAGAGACTTTCTTGAAAACTATAGTGACAATAATTTATGTTTCAAATGGCCATTATTAAATATGTTTCCAGGTATGATGTAGCAAGAAAAAAAGGAGAAAGTAATTGGTGCAGGAATCATCTGCAACTTTAAAGAAAATATCCAGAATTTATCTTATTCACCTGCCATGAAATACTAATAAAGGAACATTTGGCTAATAAAATTTTTTAAATGTTGTCACTTTTATGTGCAGATGATTATTTTTAATAGCATATTTAAGAGTTTAATTTCTCATTTCATTTTAACAGTAAAATAAATATTTTTCCATTATACCCTGCACTGAGTTCTACTTGTCCTTCACTTTAAGTAGTCTTATTTCTGCCTCACTGCCAACAGAACAAAGTCACTCACATTTAGTTCTGCCACATAAAAGATGAGAATCAGACCCTTTGGGTCATAACCCAAGTCTTTTCAACACTTTTTCAGATCCAAGCAGATTCTCTGTGGTTTCAAATATCTCAAGAGCCATGCCAGAGATTGGGAACAAAACCTTGAATGTTCAGCTTTAGATAATTAGAGTCAGACAAGATACACCCTTCTGTTCTTTTTCAGATGCTAGAAGATTTTTCAGAGAGTTTTTTTAAACAAACTGAACGTAACAGGTAGAAGCTACTCTTCCATAAAGGAGTGTATACTTCGAATATAAACAACAACAGGCATATAAAGTTGAATTCAGTCTTCCTGAAAGTATGTATAATTTATTTTTATAAAATTAAAATAATGAGAAAATTATCTTCAGTTTACTGAATAGTTCACTTTCTCTGAGGCAAACCCTAAGCTTCTAGACAGTAGCTAGAGGCAAACAGCATAAAATGGCAAACGCATCCACAGATGAAAGCATGGGCTAAGAGCAGCATTGCATTTTTTTTAATACAAAGAATAAATGCAAAGGCTGAAAGCAACAGTGTGTCAATCAGTGCAGGAAACAGACAACAACTGCAGCAACAGAACTGGTTTTAAGATGTTTCATCAGCATAACTCATTTTACCTGTACTGTTTTTACTTGCTGGGACTGCAAGACAGAGGGCTGGGCCGCAGTGTTTATCAGCTGACTTCCCTGTGTCAAAGCTGAGACACCCACAACAGGTTTCACTTCCGACCGACCTCCAATGACAACTTTGATCTGCTGGCCTTGTACCTTGGAGTCTCCACCCTGGGCTTGGGACACGGCCTTCTGCGACTGTGGGAGCTGGCTGTGGGGTAATGCTAAAACAATAGGCTGGCCAGACTTGCCCAAAGTTGTCACAATCAGCTTTTGCCCATCTGGTTTAATACTCTGACTGCCTATTTTAATATCAGTGGCCTTGTTCAGAATAATCTGATTAGCTGAGATAGTGACAGGGGTCTGAGCACCAAGTTTATGGAGGCCACCTGGAAAGGCAGGCTTTACAGCTGCATTCACATCAGGGCTTGGGGCTGTGGTGGTCAGTGCAGCATCTCCTGTGTGGCTGCTGGGCGCAGGAACTGATTCCGTGGTGACCGTGGCTGTGGTCGTGGCTGAGGAGTCGCTGGTGGTGCTTATGTTCACTATTTCTTCCAGTTCTGTTTCCATGGGAATAGACTCTCCTCCCATCGGCGACGACACGATAACAGCCTCGATGCTGTCATCCTCCACCAGAGTTATGCCGGTGTCCATGATTTCCTCAGGGAGCAAGCTGTTGACTTCTGCTGAAACCACCTCCATTTTAGTAGCTGTGGCAGTGATGGCCGGAGCAGGTACTGCAATATTTTAAAAAGTTATTGGCTTCCAGAAAACACATACTTTCAAAGCTTTATGAATAATATTACCAAAGAAGAAAATACAGTCAAAATTTTTCAGACTGAAAGTACTGTGCATGCACAGGAGGGTTATCATGGGGAAAAAAACCTGTTATCAAAATGTAACATACTAAGCTGAATTTAGTCTTAGTAATAACTTACATCACACCTTTACAATATCATTCACTGAAGTAAAATAAAGGCATTACCAGTCCACTGTACACCACAGTACACAAAGAAGCAGTGCTTCCCCCCTGAAAATATGGGCACAGATATTTAAATTCACTGAAGTATAAAGCAAGAATTAAACAGCTTTAAAAAAATCTAACAGATGATGATGTCTTCTCATACATGCCAACATTGATTACAGGTTATTTTGCTCAAGAGACTTGTTATCCATACCAGAGGTAACATTCTTGCCAAATTTTCATTTTGGAAATCTCAGAAAAACAAATGACTGTTTAGTGATGGACTTAAACAACCCCAAAAGCTCAATCAGCAGACACCTACCACAGGATCAAGCCAAAGCTCTGCCACTCACAAGATGAAGAGATAATCCCTTGATGCTGGCTATGAAAAGAAGAGCTCAGTAATTTTTTTACCTCAATACTCACCAGAAAATATAACACACAAATTCATAATTAATTTGAAAGGTGTTCTAAACACAAAACAAATAACACACCGTATGAAAAATAAAAGGAATTTTTTTAAGAGCACCCAAATTATATATTAAACAAACCCCTGCAGCAAGATTCAAAGCCAGAATCACTTCCACTTGAGAAACCCTACAGACATTGCTGGAAATGGTCACACTGCACCATTCCCCTAAAGCTGTATCAGTGTCAAGAGTCTGAAAACAGATCAGCTTAATAAGGCATTTTCTGCACTTGCTGACCCCATGAGCACACTTGGGCCCCGGATGGGTGAGCACACCACGTGGGTCTGCCTACATGCTCCTGAGTACTAATTATAAGCTCAAGGGGATAAAACCCTCGCAAATTCTGTTTCCTATTTGCTAGGAAAAGCAGAGCTGAGTTTTAATACTAATTCATGAGGAACCGTGCCAGTGAAAACACTGACCAAATGCGGGGGTGACATTATTTCCTCTGGAATCGTGGGCCCGTTTTGTACAGCAGCTAACCACAGAACAGCTGCATTTCACCCACAAGGTGGAAGGATTGGGGAAAAAAGCCCTGCTAGAATTACACAGTTCCCATGCTGAGCTCCAGACTACGCTGGAGCAGTCCTGGCCTCCATGATTGCCAAGGGTGCCACTCTGACCCCCCTCACCTCAGAGTGCCAGCCAGACCAAACTGCCCTGACACTCAAGAAGCCTGAGCTCTGAAAGAACTGCACTGACAGTCGAAGTCAGGGCTCACTTATTGGCAGGCATTTAAAGATACAAAATTATCTTATGTCACTGCCAAAAATACCTCCTGTGGAAAGCATTTGTCCCACAGTAATGCCTGCACAGTGATGCCAGCCCTGGTAAGCAGCCCTAGACAAAACAGCCAGCTCCGAGGGACACATTAGTAATAGTATCATATTGCTGCCTTAAAGTCAAATAGGTTAACTGCATAGATGATTACTCAAAAGTAGACTGTTTTTACAAACAGTATATGTTCAGGTCACTAGGTCTTCTGAGCTGTGTCACTTGACTGTCACCTCAGCAACTTGCAAAGGCTTGCGGCTCAGACAGTAAAACTTCAAACTATTTCAGACACAAAAAAAATAAACCTCAAACCATCATCAACCACCAAACCACCAACCTCAAAGCATCATCCTGTTCTATACTGATATGCACATAGGGTTTGGATCCAGAAGTTAAGACTCCTAGTGTCAAGTACAATCCATGTAATGATTGCCACCAAGTTAGAAAAGGAGAGAATCATCTAAATCAGACACCGGGAAAACCACCTCACTCTGTAATTATAAATAGTTTTAAATAACTTGCTTTTGGTTTCCATTTGTACATGGTTTTCCCAAGAAGAAAGGCCATTCTTAGCATCTTTTAACAGTATGATCATAAAATACTTAAATATATCTACATAGTTTTATAGTTCATCAGTTATTTGCATCAGTTATTTGCATTTGGTTATGTTACAAAGTAGTAAGTGCTTATTAAATACCTATATCTAGTTGAAAGCATATTTATATTAAAATACATGGAATCAGGCTTTTAAACAGCATTTTGAGTCCAAACTAACCACGGCAAGTCAGAATGCAGAAGAAAAAGAAACATATCACATCTAGTCTGGAATCAGATGAAACAGAGAAGTGAAAAGGAAAGAAACATTATTCATAGTTACTGGATTAACAACTTATGGCAATCACATAGGAAGATTTTGCAGTTATCAGGTAATTTTAAACTTAGCTTCCATTACAGGCTAGTGTGCTCAACAACAGCAAAAAAGAACCACAACACAACCCACTGGCTCTATTTCTTCACTGCAGGTTGGACATAACTGGAATAGATACATGAAAAGCAATAATGAAAATTTCATCCTGGCTATACCAGAGGCTGCTGTCAAAGGCAACTTCAATATCCCTGCAGATTTTTACTTCTTGGTATCTAGCCAGGATTTCTCAACAGTTCAGCTGTTTATTTTTTACTAATGCTTTTATACAGTTTCCATTTTTCCAGCTCCTCTACTAAAGTGATTACCAACAGTAAAAGCATGCCAACCTCTTTAAGATCCTAACAGCCTTGAGATCAACAAAGGGTGGCAAATCGTTTTAACTATTTAAACCCTTGAAAGTTTCCTTCACTTAAGCAGCTACGTTTTGAGTACTGAATGCACAAGCTCTAACTACAACCCTTTGAAAAGATGCATCACTATGTGCTTACTCAAAGCCTGAAGGATAAAAGCAATCTAGACCAAGCAAGTGTTTAAGCTTCAGACTGGGAAATTCAGAAATATCCTAGGTTCAGATTACTAAACAGATAATTTTAGCCTAAAAAATAGTGGTCATACAATTAAATAAAAGTTCACCAAAAAATTCACATAATGAAGATTTGTAAACAGAGCTAGCTCAGAACTAGCTAGCCCAACTAGCCAAACACAGAAAAAAAAGTTAGAGACTAAAGCATATTGTCAGCAAAGTCCTGGACCAACAACTTTGGAAAGTGCTAGGTACAGTAAGGAGAAGGAAGGGAACAAACTCAGTGTGAGCAAACCACCTGTGATCATCTTACTCATAAAACAGATTCCTGTTCTTGATATTCAGGAAGAAAAATATATCTATGATGGTGTAAAGGATAAAGAAGATTTGTAAGGAAGATGATAAAGAAGATCAGGATTGTAGGCAAAAATACAGAATGGTGTCTGACAGATATCTGTGAATTTTGATAATTTTTCTCCACCACTAGCATGTCACTGGAAAATCTCTAAGAAACTCTGTTAAAAGTATTGAGATCAATCATATCAACATCTTTGTTAATAAAATACCAGAACAGCACACTAAACAGGAAAATAATTTAAAAAAAATCAATATAATTAAGCACAGTGATCTACAAAGAAGTAAACAAAATGCAAGACATAAAAATGTCTTGTACTTTACAATAACTGCATTTTATTACATGCAGAAACGTCTCCATTTCACTAAGAATAGCCAACCCTCCTGCCAGCAACCATGAGCAGTTCGAGTAGGGTGACAGGTTACAAAACCACCAGCAAGGCTACGTACTACAAGCAAAACACATTCATAAATGCAGATTATACAGAAACAAGGCTGCTGAGACCAGCTTTACTTGAACTCCTGGAAGGTGATGCATGTCAGCAAGGACATGACAAGAGAACAGAGGGCCAAGGCACTCATCCCCATTTGTGGCTGCTGGCCTGGCGGTGCCCAGCCTTGGGAACAGTCTGGTGTAGCCCAACACATCTAGGAACTCTGGCCAGACCTGCCTTGAGTCACTGGCAATGCTCATTTTTTAACCAAATTCTCAAGTGTCACTTTCACCAGAAAAGAAGGAAACCAAATCAGTAACAGCTTTTATATGAACACCTTTTGAAGTACAAAACAAACCCACGCCACCCAAAATCAAAAGCCTCATAAATGCAACACATCTAATGTATCCCTGAAGCATCAGGGATTCTCTTGGGACTAGCAGGAAAACGCTAAGTGAAACTAAGTATCATTGCCAGATACAGCAGCATCTGTTAGTAGTTCTTTAAAGCTGGGACAGATACACTTAAGAGTAGCACCCTTAAGAGACAGCAAGAGCAAATATTTTCAGCTTCTGAGCTAAAACTGTGCAGAAACCCTTAAAAAGAAGTATGAAGAAGAAAGATGAAGCTTGCCCTCAAGAAAGGGGAGAATGAGGCTGAAAAGCTGAGTTAGATGAATGGCAGAAAAGTAAGAGTGGACAACCTAACAAGTAATTGTTCACTGCAAGTACAGTGGACTCTAATGAAAATGAATATAAAAGAAAGCAGGATCAACAGTCGGTCAGCACAAAAGGGGTAGCATTTGGATTTTCCATAGCTGAGACAAAAATGTGCCAATACCATCTCTTCTCTTTGCAATCAAGGCGCAGCAGAAGACCACCAGCAGGCAGGCTATGGCTCAGATTTGAGGACTTTAAAACTCAAAAATCCCACATTACATGGTTACGTTAATAAAATTGGCATATTTATACCTTATGTAGCAAAGGTTTAAAAACATAATATATTTCGTTCCTAAGTCCATTCATTAGAACAAAGGCAAGAACATGGGGAAAAAAGGGGAAATACAGAATGGATCCTTGATGATTTAAGTGAGAAGCATGAGATGCTACCAACCACATTTTAGTTGCATAAAGGCTTTTCAAATTTTTCAGCTTCTGCTTATCTGCTCTCTCCAATCCTGGCAGATATTTAAACTCCTGAAGGTTGCTGAGCTGAAAAAATCCGATTTTTTGGGACCTTAATAATTAGAGATTAAGGAATTTGAAATGCCCAGCCCTCAAGTGCCAGTGC